CGAGTGCGTGCGTGCGTGTGTGTGTGTGTGTGTGTGTGTGTGTGTGTGTGTGCACGTGTGCGTTGTGAAAGAGTGCGAGGCCGGAATGGAAGGGGCTGCATGCTCCGCGTCGCCGTGCCGGCCGCTTTCTTGAGGCGACAGGGGCCCCGCGGCAGACTCTGGGGTTCTTCATGCGGCCTCCATCACAGCAAGCAGCGGGCTGCTGCAGCTGGCGGCCCCGCGCCAAGACGCATCCAATCGTCTGCACCCTGCCACAATCTTGGCGCGGCTTCACGTCAAGCTGCGGCGCTGCGCACCCGTCCCACAACACAACAAGACCCTCCCCCCCCCCAAAACTGCTCCACAGCTCCCGGACCCCCTGTCCGCCCTGCTCCCCACCCCCAACGCACGCCTCAGCTTTGCCCTCCCAACGCGCGCCACCTCTTGCGCAGGTCGCGAGCCGGTGGCAGCTGCAGGGTGTGGGCAACGGCAGCGTCTACTGGGTCGACTCCAACAACTGCCTGCACCTCAAACTGACAGATCCGGGGCACCCCTGGGAGTACAGCCGGAGGTGAGATATTTTCCAGACGTTTTCGAATGGGAAGGGGGGCGTTGCTGAATCGGGATTTGTGGATTAATTTCGGTTTGCCTAGCTTGACAGTGCAAGGGTGGGGCTCGGGATCCAAGGGCGTTTCCCCGTTCACGCCGCTGAGAGAGCCACAGAGGTGGTTGCAAAAGAGGGGCAGGGTGGGGGGCACTGCGGATGTAGTGGGGGCGGTGTGAAAGGGTAGGCCGGGGTGACGCAGCCCTCCATGGGGCCCAGCGGTGACCAGGAGCCGCGCACCAATAAGTGAGGGGTGGCGGGCCGCGGCGGGGATGGCGCCTGGCAGCGCCGCGGCCTCGACCATGGGCCCGGCGCACCTGCATTTTCGGCTCCGCAGCAACACATTTGCCGCCGCGGGCGCCGGCGCTGGTGCGTTACGGCTGCCGCGGCAGCCCCGCCAGCGACCCCCCTGCCTGTCACAGCTCTTCATGTTTTGAGCCCTTCCTCTGCCCCCTTCTCTCTCACAAACACACACACACACACACACACACACACACACTCACACACACACACACACACACACACACACACACGCACCAACACACACGCACGCGCATGTACGCACACACACACACACACACATTCTCTTCCCCTCTCTCCCCTCTTCCACCCCCCCAGCTTCCAGCGCGCGGGGCTGTATGTTGAGCAGGAGGTGCGGTGGTACGATCACTTCTACGACATCAAGGTGGGCGGGGCGGGAAGTTCACGCCATGGGGGTGTGAAGCTCACACCTGGGATTGGAAGGGGTTGGAGGCTCACAATGGGAGTGCGACACGACCGCAGGAGTCGGAAGGTCGGCGCCTGGAATCTTAGATGGAACGCTGCATGCACCCATCATGTGAGCACCCAACAGCGTTCATACATACGCGTCCCTGGCACCCTCTGAATTCGACTGAACCTCCCGCGCGGCGCAGGCGACCGGCCCCGCCATGAGCTGCGGCGACACATACTTCTGCCCCCTGCCGGTGAGAGCTCCTCACGCAAACATGCAAAGAAAACTAACTACGCGCGGCCCACGCGCGTGGGAACCGCACGCGCCCGCCTTTTCGAGCTGTCCCTGCGCTGTGCCGCAGCCCCAGGCTGTCACGATCGGCGGCGGAGGAAGGGGGCGGGCGGGGCCTCCCCTTTCCCCCTCTAAAGCTCCCCCAGGGAATTTCCTCCTGGCTGTCACACGGGTCGCAACTCGCCAACCGCAATTCCTCTGCCAATCCTGCTGCATTCGCGCGGCTTTATCCTCGAACCGAACAAACTGCTCACAACCTCATAACTTTTTTGTTACCAATCGCAACGCCCGCAGGGCGACCCCGCGTCTCGCAAGCCCGCCCCCATCACCAGCGCCGCCCCCGTTGACTGCGTCGACATGGCGCCGCCCAACACGCTGTGCACCGCCGTCAAGTGCGCCTACAAGTACTGGCCGGGCTGCTCAAACAGTGACATCATCAGCGGCGGCTTCTGCGCGAGCAGCTGCAGCCGCTGCCCCGCCGCGGCGGTGGTGAGCGGCTGGGAGGGGGAGTGCCCACCGCAAGAAGGGCATTTTTGCTCTTGTTCCAGTGCCTTGTTGTGGTGTAGGGTTGGTGG